TGCTGATAAGTCACAGATTTGATATGACGTACCCCCAAGGCCAAATGCTGAAACAGGATGTGTCAGAATGGCAAGTATATGGCAGGTCAGCTCACTGAAACATGTCAAACGCAAGAGCCACACATGCTAACTCGCCGATGCACGTGAAAAGGTGTCATCTACTGTATGTGATGAGTATTCGCAAAATGTCGTGCAGCAAGCTATCAACACAGTGAAATCCATGTTGCAGCATCCTGGAGCAGCATGCACTTGGTGCCTGGTAGCTTCCACCCTTCCAAGTTGGTTTCTCCAGACCATTCCAAAGCTGATCTTTCAAGACCACAGCTGTGATCATGCATCCATATGGTTCATATGGCTATGGTTCAAAATCCAAAATTCCGTACCCCCAGTGAACATCCGATTCAATCCAACCACTCAAATAGGTTTTAAAATGGGTGGTGAATTCACCTAGCCCAAAACGGGTTCCCAAAACGGTTTTCACAACCACAACCATATGACTGCTGGAGTGTGTTTTTGTTCTGGTGCAAACATGGCTTGGAACAGCTCCCTGGCCGGCTGGGCAGGCGGTCGTTTTGCGGTCAAGAGTCACACATCTTCCGCGAGGAGCGAAACGATTCCAGGATAGATGTCGTCCAGCAGATTGACTGGATGACAACGTCTCGACCTCTTCGCAAGCGGACGTCACGAAAGGCTGATGGGAACTCCACTTTGTCCCCAATGCTTACAATACAACAAACGATCTGAATCCAATAGCAGACTTGCAAGATGCTTAGCTTCGGAACTACTCAGCTTCGCAGGGTGCCGCTGCGTGGGACCTCACGCAAAGGCTGCGGCTCAAGCGGCTCAATCGCTGGATGGAAGTTTCTGGGGCTCCAGGCACCACAGGCCCAGCTTGTGCAGCTGGAAGGGTATTCGATTCTTCGAGTGCCTGGACTCAAGGACACCAGGCGATCGCGAAATCGGCAAACTCGGTGGCAAAATCTGCTCCCCTACTACAAGTTGTTCACTTTCAGTGGTTTCATGCGGAAAACCCCAAGCAACATGCACCAAAGGATAGGGAGAAATGGAATGAACCGGTTCTGGCGGGTTCCCCGAAGAGGAAACCATTCCACTTGAGTTGGTGTAAACAGGGGGGTCATCTCATTTCTCATTCCCTAGCGATTTTAAGGGTTTAGGAGCGATCGATCGCTCACACAGGAGCTTCTGGAGCCCACTGATTTCTGATATGCCCAGTGTGCACGTCGGAATTAAAAACCATGCCCAGCGCCTGCGTTTTTTCCCGCTCGAAGCTTTAATCTGCAAGCATAGGTGTCCTTTTAGGCGAAACTCTGATGGGTGTCCCTGGTAGATGATCTTGCACCACCAGGTAAACCAGGTTGAAACCCATCGACTTTTCTTTAGCAAAAGAACCAAAAAGGACACTCCTATGAAACTGCAAGCCGCAAGCCGGCCGCAAGCCGCTCGAAGCCGCTCGAGGCCGCTCGAGGCCCCTTGAGGCCCGCCTGAAGGTCAAAGTCTTTGCAGCGCCCTCCAGCCAGATCCACTCGCGGCCGCACTGGCCATAGATATATCCTGGGCTGGGTTGTTTTGCCTCTCAACCCGAAGGGCCTCATAACATTCCAAGCAAACCGAGCTCACAAACATCCGAGCTGGCACCCCAAAGCAAAACCGAGCTGGCACCATTGGGGAGCCAGCATTTTTGAAGGCTACAATGTGCTCAGTAGGCGAGGAAGCATGTCTCGCATCTTGGAGGTTGACCCATGCAACTCGCCCCAGCAAAGGAGTCCTTGCCAGACAGTTACATCGTACACATTGCATAACTGTATAAAGAATCCTTCTGAATCTTGGAGCCACTCCAAATGCACTCTCACGTTTTCACAAAATATGACTGCCATTCGGCCGACTTGAGCAAACAGCTGGCAAAACAGTCAACATGGTCAGGAGTGCCATGCGCGCCTTTCGTCGAGAGAACTGCATCACGAAGCTTCAATTTGAACATGCTCATGGAACATCTGACACAAAACACTCTGAAATCAAAAGTCATACCCTCACAACTATAGCTTGGTCATGTCCTCACCAATATTCCTGGGTGAGATCTCACTAGTATACCAATATCACGTCAGATCCCACCTGAGCCGCAAGCAAAACCCGGTATTAAAATGGTGAACCCAGAACCATGCTTCAAGAATTAAGAAGGCGGAGATCCGCAGCTATTTCTGTACCCTTCATCTACCAGGGTTTTGAGGACGTGGCTCATATGACCTCAGATCCCACCTCCCGTTTCTATCTCCAGCTGAGGAACGAATCCGGTGAGCTGTGCCGAAGGATGGGTGCTGCTCTTCCTCAAGCGAACTGAGACGAAGCGGAAGCGGCGACCTGCGGCGATCTGCGAATGTTGATCCCATATGGCCATGGGTCAAAAGCCAAAATTCCGTACCCCCAGTGAACATCCGATTCAATCCAACCACTAAAATAGGCTCTAAAATGGGTGGTGAATTCACCTAGCCCAAAATGGGATCCCATTGGTTTTGACCCACAGCCATATTCATCAACCCGCAGCTTATTATGGGGGAGTTCCCCTGCAAAAGTGATGAATCCCCAGTAGCAAATAAGGAGAAGCACCCCCGTATTAATAAATGGGTCAACATGAATCTGCGTATGTGCAACCGTCTCAGCTCAGAAAAATCATGCCACGATGAGGACAGCTCAAATTTGCCACCATGTTTTTAGCTCGGTGACCTCTTCATGAACCAACCAAATGAATGGGGCCCCACACACAGAAACCACACTCGGTTGCTTTCTGCTCCCCTGCTAAAAGTTTAACTTGTAGTGGTTCAACGGAAAACCCATTAGTTTGCAAAAAGTGAACGTCCTAACATCCAGAGCAAAATGCACCAAAGCAAAACAAGGTGGCTGCGAAACGGGTGCCGCTCTGCGGCGCTCCGGTCCCAGTCCCCAAGACGAGGTTTTTTTTCTTTCTTTCGCAACGTTGGGCGGAGCTGCGTGGCAGATCGCGGTGACCATGGCCAGGAAGGGTCTCCTGTCGCAAATGGCTATGGGTCACAACCCAAATCGTACCCCCAGTGAACATCCGATTCAATCCAACCACTAGAATAGGTTCTAAAATTGTAAAATAGACTAAAATGGGTGGTGAATTCACCTACCCCAACATGGGATCCCATTGGTTTTGACCCACGGCCAAATCGCTTGAGCCCGAGGGGCAAAGCCCAACTTGCAAGCCACTTACAAAGCGAAATGAGGGTTGATCTGTGAATTGATCTGGGTTCACTGATTTATTCCTGGCCCCCAAATGACCATGGGTAATCTTTCCTGTTTAGTGGGGGAAGTCATTTATTTCATTGGTTTCCTTGATGGTCATCCCACGTAAAGAACCTTTTGATCAACTTTCAAGCGAGGAGTTGTCCACGCTTTCCCCCGAACATTCTTGTATGAAATGTCTAAGCTTACGTGTTGAAGGGTCTTGCGACGAGTCATCAAACCACGGGCATCAAACAATATATTCATTCCACAGATCAAAACAACCCGTTATTTGTCAAACAAACACTTGCTTGAGGCATAACGCAACATCCCACCCAAGTTGCGTCATCAAACATATGATAGGCATCAAAACGCCTTATGCCCAGAATGCAAATTCAGAAAGAGAGGCATCTTGCCTCCATCTGAGCAGCATCATCTCTTTCTCGGCAAACAGGTGGGATTCGAGTTGGCTAATGTTTGATTGACTCAGGATCGATTCTTCAGGCGGGTTGAGGTGGGTCTAGGGCGATTGGTTTGGTTACGGCTGACTTAAGGTTGATTTGGGGTGAAATGTGCGGCGGTAGACTGCGGGCTTTAAATCCGAAAATCGGTTTAGCGCTAACCTAGGATGGGGTCAGGGTGGCCATTGGCTGGGTAATGTTCGGAGGTCGGGTCCATTTAAGGTTAGCGGAGTGCTTTTTAGGGTGGGTTCGGGATGGAGATAATGCCACTCCTGTGCAGATGACGTGGGTCAAGGTGGATCCAACCGGGATGAGGTATCTTTTGTGGTGGGATTCGTGGTCGGTTCAGCATTGGTTTAGATGTGATGCTTATCTCCCTTCTTTCCTTCCCTTCCTTCCTCCCTCCCTCCCGCTGGCCTGCCTGCCTGCCTGCCTGCCTGCCTGCCTGCCTGCCTGCCCTGCCTGCCTGCCTGCCTGCCTGCCTGCCTGCCTGCCTGCCTGCCTGCCTGCCTTCCTTCCTTCCTTCCTTCCTTCCTTCCTTCCTTCCTTCCTTCCTTCCTTCCTTCCTTCCTTCCTTCCTTCCTTCCTTCCTTCCTTCCTTCCTTCCTTTCCTCCTTTCCTCCTTCCGGAGATTCTTGTTTGATGCCAAAAACGCATGTTTGATCCACCCCCGTTCGTCTCGTGCCTGTGCTTTTCTTGAGGCGGAATAATGGTGCTTGATGTGGTGGCTTCATGCCTGCCATTGGTTCGTTCTCAATACTGTGTGGCCTTGCAAAACAAGCAAAGTCCGAGATGTGCAGATTCTGCCAATGATTCCATGCCATCCAATATCATCTGAAGCATATGCCACAACCTGGGCCAGTCTGCCCTGTCCCGTCAATCTCGAAGCTGATGCCCGTGCCAGGCAAGAAGACTTGGCCGGAGCAGGAGGCACCCATGGGACGTTGGCCATGAGCTGAGTCAAGACCAACCTCTCACATGCTGTGGCCTTGAGGTCTGCTGTCTGTTGCTTTTCATGGCAAGCTACGTAAACTGGGATGGGATGCTGGGACAAGTGGGTCCAAAAGAAATTGTGGGTGTGTGCCGGCTGCTTCTGAGGCACTTGGCATGTTGTAGTGTGCAAGCCTAAAGCAGAAGAGTGCCCTCGAATATTGCACAACGGCTGCCATGATGATCCTGTGCTGGGAGCTTGAGCAGTAAGTATTGGTGCAAGTGCTGCAAGAGGAATGACAAAGTGCGCGAGACTAAATGCTAATCGCATTGTTTGTGCAACAAATCTCCGCTGTGCTGATGGCAACACGTCCATCGCAAACACCCGAGAAGATTTGAATGATATCAAAGGATCCATGAAAGCTTGTGAGCAGTCAGCCGACCAAAACCCTGCATGCGTGCCCTGAGTATCCGCTGAACTCGTCGTAGTTGGAGTCACCAAGGTCTGCCTTGTCGTCATCTCGGTCCACCTGCAGACTGCCACATGTGCTGACCTCATAGTCTAGGTCTTCCGGTAGAGAGGTTCGAATACGGGTACCCTTTTTTATGTACCCTTTTTTACGTAGGACGTAGGGGAACCCTTCCCCGAAAAAAGGGTAAAAGGGCACTAATTACTGGGGGACCTCATAAGCTTTGAAAAACCAAGCATTGAGTGGCAAAGTGACTGCCCTCGCCAAGCAGCTCCTCCAAACCTTCCTGAGTTTCCTTGTGGCCGAAAGCTAAAACCGCATTCTAGAATCGAAGCATATGAGAGCGATGGGTGTTGTACTTTGTGGTATCCATGTCAGCAAGAGACTGTTTCCTGTGGATTGAAGCGCATCTTGGCCTGTTCTGTCTGGACCTTCATGCCCCTTTTTCTTTTGAACCCCCTGCTCTTGTTTTCCGGCATCCCAGATTGCTGTGACTTTCTTGCCGGTTTCCTGCCTCATCTCGACTCACGCCGCCAATGAAGCCTGTAGCACCTCGACCACGCCCTGGCACGTACCTGAAACAAAACAACAAGTGCCAACAGCAGGAGACATCGAGATCATGCAAACCAACTTGAGCATCATCATCATCATCATCATCATCATCATCATCATCATCATCATCATCATCATCATCATCATGATCATCATCGTCGTCATCGTCATCGTCATCGTCATCGTCATCGTCAGCGTCATCGTCATCGTCATCGTCATCGCCATCATCAGCAGCAGCAGCAGCAGTGATGTCGGAGCATCAGCAGCAGCATGATGTCGGGGAGGGCGGGCCAATGGCAAACAACCTCCAATGAGAACAAGAACAGCATCATCTACTCGCCCACAAAAAAAAGATTGATGGCTGCCATAATCTCCTTTCTGCAAAAGAGAAAACTAAAACCATCATCTACCCAAACACAAAAATGATGCCTTACTCTTCTCTGAATAAAGGTGAAAAGTTCGGCACCGGAGCGCGCGCAGGGCGGCACCCAGGCGGCGCATTCCCGAACATCGCGTCGGTGCCGCGCTTCGTGGGCACCGCGCTCTGGGCCGGGGAGCAGACGCGAGGGGGACGTGACGTGAAAACGGCCAGATGTGTTTCGACTCGGATCCACCTCAATCCAAATGGTCAATATGCAAGGCCATGGTCAAAAGCCAAATCGTGGCAGTGAACATCCGATTCAATCCCCACTAAAATAGGTTCTAAAATGGGTGGTGAATTCACCTCAGAATGGGATCCAAAACGGTTTTGACCCACCCCAAAAAATAAATATGAAAAGAGAACTGAAAGAAAAAACTAAAAAAATGGCCAGGGGGAAGAACAGGTGAAATCCGCACAAGGCGCATCCGAACGGTTTTCTAGGGCCAACCGGACTCGTAGTTCTGAGTTCTGGACGAACAAAAAATGCAGAGAAGACAGCGCATGACTGCTACAAAAGATGACCTCCGATTGCCAACTGCGTGTGTCGCCTGTTCAGTCTCAGTCGTTGCACAACACGGAGTATCTTCTGAGATGTCATGACACAGAACTCTACAAATCTGCACGTTGAGCCCAATGGTTGACATCCAACTTTTCTGTACCATGTTGACATTGTTGACAGTTGCCTGTGTCAGCATTGCTTGATGATAAACAATGTGTCTTTGCTGGCTCGCTTACTTTGTGCTGACTGACTTATTGGGGAATTGTTTTCTTCTTGAATTCCATTTCATGCTAGCCAACACCTTCACGGGAATGAGCTTTAATCTGACAGGGAACCCCTTCCAAGGTGGTTGGTGCACATGAATCCCCACCTAAATTATGTCCACCAAACGATCCCCCTTCAAAAGTCACACCCACATGACTGCAACTAGCACAGCGTGTGTTACATTGTTGGCATGCCACTCGTGTTTGCACACGCAGGTTAATGCGTGCGGTCTTAAAGAGAAGACAAGGCTGAGCTCCAAAAACGTGAAGATTCTGCTGACTTGGGGTGTGTTGTGCTTGCTGGACCCAAAAAGCCATCAAAAGCGAGGATTCTTTATACGCGAGCTTTTGAAGGCGGGCCTTGAACTCTACCTGGCTGCCTCCCTCCCGTTATGGACTTCCATGAGAAAATTGTTCAAGTCGTTGCAGTTTTGTCGGTCATGTGCAGGTGATATGAGCATTGGCGCCAGTTGCAAGAATCATCCAACACATAATTATATTAAAGCTAAACTGGCCGTAGTGGCAGCCTGACACTGAATCACGCACCAACTAATGCAGGCAATCAGAACTACAAGATCCTGTTTTAGGAAGCTTAGAAACACAATCTTCTATTTGCTTAAGACCCCTGGAAACATATTTCCAGTAGCGATAAGTTCCTTTTAAAACCAACAAGGGAAAAGTTTAAAAATAAAATGAAAGCAATGACGAGAGCCAAATGCAGGGAAAAGCAAAACATGGCCACAGGTCAAAATCCAAATCGTACCCCCAGTGAACATCCCAATCCCCACTAACATAGACTAAAATGGGTGGTGCACCAATCCCCCAAAATGGTACCATTTGTTTTGAACCATGGCCATATGTCAGTTCAGCAAACACGCTTCATTCTGGCCAGCAAGCCTCCGTTCATCGCCAAATAACCCGCGATGCAACACGCCAAGCCTTTCTGAATATCTCGACAGTAATTCTACGCCCCGTTCAAGTTGCCGTTCCATATTTATGCCGAATAGTGAGCTCCTCACGTACAAGAGTCGCCCTTCTCGCAAGGGAGCAAGGACTGTTTTTTTGATAGTCAAAAAAGTGCCACATGTTGCTTTGACTGTTTCACTAGACAATATGCTCAAATTATTTAAATCGCGGAACCTGTTCCACCGCAAGAGGCTCCTCACATTGCCTGCAAACAGCCTCACTTGAGATTGGGAGGCAAATTTGAGCACATGTTGCGGGTTGCAACTTGTACAGTTGACCTTGCCCTTGAACGTGATAACGCTAGGCGTTTGTGGCTGTCGGATCAAATCATCACCCTCTGGGGCGCGGTGCGTGCATGCCCATGTCTGCGCGGGTCTGCATGGGAATCTTTGCGCCGCGGCCTATGCCAGGTCAGCGATGGGAGACGTCTCATAGCCGGGAATCAAATGGGAAGGGGCGCTCAACGAGGAATCTGCCGGTGAACCCGTGTGGCACGTCTGACCTTTGCGCCATGCGACTTCAATGGCAGATTCTTCCGCAGTGGAAGCATCTGCAGAAAATATCTGGCAACAGGTCCACAAGTTGTAGGTGTTCAGACAATGTTGGTGAGAGCCCATGGCAATTTCCGCATATGACAGTTGAGATCGACTGGTCATCTAGGCAAACGGAACAAAGGAAGTCTGCTGTGTGGATGATCCATTAATTTGACATCCTCTCGCAGAGATAAACAATGCTGTGAGGGCCTCGAGGCAGTGTTAAGGTGGCAAACGTGTTTGTCACAAATGGCTCGGTGTTGCATCAAGGTGTCCGACCCTCCTACACACCCCTGCGGACCACATTTGTTCTTGCTCCACTATTTTTGGGGTGCAGTTGACAGGGGTTCCTGGCATGTAGGGGTGTGTGGATGCTTGATTTCTCTAAGCGCCGTTGTACTTGGTCCTTTTTTCGGCACAAAAGAATATTGTACCTAAATTGGCATAGGGGCCATATGGGAACAAAAACGAACACCTGCGTCACCCCGGTTGATGGATCTCGAAAAAGAAAACAAGAGCGGTAGGTCTGACCAAAAGTCGTGACCATTAGGCTGTGGGTCAAAAATATGTACCCAAAATGGAACCAAAATGGAAACTTGGACTACAACCTGCGGTTTTCTGGTGGTTTAATTTCGCCATGGCCATATCTTGCTTTCCCCTGCATTTGGCTTTCCCATAGTTTGAGAAATCGCGTCCTGTAGGCCATCTCATTGCTTCCGCTTGCTAACACCTAGAAAAAGTATTTTTACCCGTAACATATGTACCCAACATGGAACCTAAATGGAAACTTGGACTGCAACCTGCGATCCACTGCGGTCCCCGTGGTTTTTCATCTTGCCCCACCCCGTAAAATTCGGCTCAGCGATCCGGGACCCGGCCGATGCCGCCGGCGTAGCCCGCAGGCGCCATGGACTCATCGAGCTTCAGGCGCTTCGTGGGCGCCTGCATGGGGAGCCAAAAGGAAGGAAGAGATGCTTGAGGTAAAGAAATTTGGATGTTGCAAATTAAGGCAAATATATAATGTATGGGATGCTTGCAAAAGGGACAGGATTCGTTTGCTATGTGAAGGATGGGAAGAGAATCCGTATATCTCAGGGTTGATTCCTTTCTCCCATGTCCAATCCTTTCTCCGTCGGATCCGTTTCCCTGGGCTCAGGTTTTCCATCCGGATCGGGTTCGGAGACATGGAAGGCACTAGAGGGAGATACATTCGAGTATGCAGAGGCAATGCCTTAAATACAAAAAAGTATAAGGTAGCACTAGAGTAAGATGTTTGCAACATTTAAGCAATTTCAAGTTGCCCTGAACATGGAGATTTGTTTGCAACATATTGAGACACTTGGGAAACAAAACGACCAGCAAACTGTTTTTTAGAGAAAACTGCTGAGGTGGCAGGACAAAATTGGAATTTGGCCATTTGCCTTTGCAGCGACATGTTGTTTTTTGCCATTCGGGCTACAAGCAGGCTTCTGCATTATCGCTGCATTGTGCGGGCAATGAAAGAGCTCCAAACTGCGATTCACGTGTCCATCTATGGACGGCAGTCATCTGTTCAAGCACATCCTTCGCACGCAAAAGAAGAAGAAATGCATTCATGGGTCAGAAGCCCGTACCCCCAGTCCAACCACTAAAATAGGTTCTCAAATGGGTGGTGAATTCACCTACCAACCAAAATGGGATCCCAAAACGGTTTTGACAACCACACACACACAGCTTGGCAGTGCCAAACCACGTCTTCGAATCATCCTCCCACTTCCAGCGGGCCAAGTGTCCAGTTTGGCCAGCCCTTGCTGCCACTGTGACTCAACGAAGAAAGCCCAAGCTGTTTGCCGCTTCGCCTCATTTTGCCAGACTGAACCAGAGACTCATCGCCAGTGTCCCAGTGGGCGTTGAGAAGCAACCCATTGGCTTCCCAAAACAGTAGAATCGTGGGATCGGAACTCGCAAAACGCGCGCTTGCATCGAAACCACCGCAAGTCACCACAGCAAAAACCCTCCCCTGCGCCTGCCCTGGAAGCAGCGACATGCTGCAGTCGACCCTAGCGAAAAGTCGCTTACATTGGGGGTGTTTGCGAGGGGGGAGGAAGTAGCATGCCCAAAAGCCATGTCACTCCAGACCCCCGTCTGACTGACAAGCAAGTGTACTTTTCCCCGGCTACCGTTCAGCTTATCAATTACTTCTGCGCTGCAAACGCTGCAATGGCTTGACTCACGGTTTCAGCAGCTCTTTCGCTAGAGTATCCCTAGATCTCGAAGCTAGAGGCGCTAACTGGCATTTCATCTGAGCTCAAAACTTTGAAGGCTGCGGCTCGCAGAATTGATATGCCCATGATGCAAACAGTGCACGATAATCCAAATAACACCAGGCGAACGTTACAAAGATGCCCTTCGCTCTATGACTCCCGATCGGTTTCATCTTAAAATACTTGTAACATGTATTATATCAACTATTATGCAGGGCAAACTGTCCTGCGACTCAAGCGTTCGGCTTTTGGAAGGATTTCCATCTTCAAGACCCTCACAATACATCAAAATGGGTGCCAAGCGGTTCATCAAAATGGCAAGCGGTAAATGTGAACATGGTGGAACCATGGCAAATCAAACCGAAACGCGGCGAAATGCCAGCCTCCGGCTCGAGGTAGTGCTTGGCCAATGGTTTCCTCTTGAGCCAGGTGGATGTTCAGAACGCGGGCTGCACAGGTCTGCGGATGTTGGCTAGCACGCGCCAGAAAGCCCGGTCCCTGCGAATACCTTCAAGTGATGCCAAACGTCGGGGCGGGCGCATCATTCCTATCTTGAGTGGAATGCTCAGCCAGCATTCCTGAAAGGAAGAACATCATATCTGGAATCCGGCGCTTTCGCAAGGATAAAGAGAGGCATGTGACCACATGTGAGAACGATGTTCTGGCATGCTCTGTGGCATGTGCCAGCTGCAATTGTTGAAATCCAGTGATGTGCTACAGTGAATAAAGATATGGCGACTGCCACCACGTTCCCGCTTGCCAGATCCTGCGTGGCGGTTTCCCCATGAGTGGCCAAGCACAGGGTTCCGTTTTTTGACTACCCCAAGGTAGACTTAAACCCAGCCTTTTCCCTTTTGGGGAAATCACCCCCCCCCCCTGGGTTTAAGTCGACTTTGGGGTAGTCAAAACACGGAACCCTGGCCGGCTTGGCCCATCTCCTGCCTGTCCTTTTCTCACACTGGCGGCTGGTTGATCTGAACTAAGATCATGTCCTTGATTGCAAAGGAATCAGGACGAATTGCAGCTCCGCAGCTGCTTGGAAACATGGAAGCTTGGCAAATGGAAACCTGGACTAAAATCTGCGGTCCCCTGGTGGTTTAATTTTGAGCCACACCCAAATGTTTTCCTGTGGAAGCCGGACTCGCTGTGAATTTGTGAAGGCAACTTTGGCCATCTCTCACAGCAACGAAGCAGGTTACGCATGCGGTCCAGAAATCGAAGGACCTCAGTGCTCTCAAAACAAAGAGCCAGGGCCCCATCTCACTTGAAAAAAATCGCTCAACCCTTAGTAAGCGAATCAACAAACTTGCTTCTGTGTCCACATCGGAGAGAAATCGAGTCAAGACTTGGATGAAAGCGCCAAAAAATAGATGATCTGAAGGCTATCACCGCCTCTATGGGCGAGAATCGAGTTCTAAATTGTGCCATGGCTTCAACCTGAGGATGGGGGAATCGTGATGGTGGTTGATGGTAAGTGCTGGCAAACGAGAAGATTTGTCAAAAGGCAATGATTGTGAGAATGATAGCAATATCATGACAGCGACGCGGTGAGAATGAGGACGGGAATTAACAATGTTGCCGACAGCGGAAAACCCTCAGCCAGTAGTGTCTGGATGTTTGTTCAAGGGTCTGTTGAACGTGATCTTCCACCTGCAACCTTGTTCTGCTCTTGCTCTTGCGTCTTCACCGTATCGGCGTTTAGTTGGCATCCAAACAACGCGGCTGTGGATCCGCCCTCAGATTAAGACCGGGACGAATTGGGGCACTGAGGACCTGACAGAAGTGTGCCGCATAGACTAAAGGAGCGCCGGAGGGCTCGGCCAGGAAGTCCAGCAGCTGCCTAGGTGTAAAGCGACGTTCGAATGAGCTCAGCGTCAGGCAAACCGTGCGGCTTAAATGGGCCCGGTCTCCGCGCGTCGAATTGGTTGAGTAAAGCATTCCAAAATCTAGTCACACCAACTCAACTCAACGGTCTGCAGTAGGCAACATAATGTTGGTATCGCTTAGGTGCAAATCGTCAGAGTGATTTAAATGTAAGCCCACACTAAACCCTAAAAAGCTAAAAAGGCCATGCTGCACACCAAAGTTCGGAACAGCACTGGTTTTGTTCGCCGACCGCCACCTCAGCCCTGCACCGCAGGAGCCGCCGCAGCATGCCACCCTTGCCGACGGCATCACTGCCTTCCCAAACAGCGGCCGTTGAGGAGGAAATAAGAACGCTAATCGTCTTTGCACGCTTCAAAAAGACGCGGGAGGAATGGAGAACCTTACTGGCCGCAAGCAACAAAGACACAGTAGCCTCCCCTGCAAAGTGGCTATGGCTGAAAGACCTGAATTCAAGCCTGCCATCAATCGTGGCTTGAAGAGTACTGTCTGGACGCCAAACACAACACACAAACAAACACAAACACACCGGCACTCAGGCACACAGACACGTACGCACACACGCAGTCACACAAAAAGGCAGGCAGGCAAGCAGGCAGGCAGGCAGGCAGGCAGGCGGGCAGGCGGGCAGGCAGAAGGGCGGGCAGGCAGGCAGGCGGGCGGGCAGGCAGGCGGGCGGGCAGGGGCAGGCAGGTGAGCGAATAGCCAGGCAGGCGGGCGGCAGGCAGGCGGGCAGGCGGGCGGGCCCGCAGGCGGGCAGGCGGGCGGGCAGGCAGGCAGGCGGGCGGGCAGGCAGGCGGGCGGGCAGGCAGGCGGGCGAATAGCCAGGCAGGCAGGCGGGCAGGCGGGCGGGCAGGCAAGCGGGCGGGCAGGCAGGCGGGCGGGCAGGCAGGTGAGCGAATAGCCAGGCAGGCGGGCGGGCAGGCAGGCAGGCAGGCAGGCGGGCAGGCGGGCGGGCGGGCAGGCAGGCAGGCGGGCAGGTGGCGGGCAGGCGGACGAATAGTCAGGCAGGCAGGCGGGCGGGCGGGCGGGCAGGCAGGCAGGCAGGCAGGCGGGCGGGCATCTCCTACTGACCTGAAAAAAGAAGCCTGGCAGATGTTGGCATCATGTCCCGCGCCTGGCTGAATCTCCGGCTCTGGAGGCGCTCCTGATGCGGTTCCTGACATGTTTGCTGTGGGCTCGCGTCAAGCAATGAAGCATCTGAGTAGTCAAAACCCGGTAATCCGCCGACCCTTTCTCTATAAAGGGGAGGCGCACGGGAAGGGTGGTTGGCGCATAAGTACAACCAAAGTTTCATCCTCATCAGCATCATCAGCTACGAAGATGATTGTTATCCTCACAGTCATCGTCATCATCATCATGATCATCCTTATCATCATCTCTTTCTTATTCTCTTATCCTTATCATCATTATCAGCATGGTCATCATCATCTCTTATTCGGCAGCGTTGCTGATGCAGAAGATGTTAGGCAGTCATCGTCAGCATCATCATCCTTATCATCATCTCTTTCTTCTTCTCTTATCCTTATCATCATTATCATCATGGTCATCATCATCTCTTACCCGGCAACGTTGCTAATGCAGAAGATGTGAGGATGATAGTTATCATCACAGCCGTTAGTCATGCCAAGGATGCTACGATGATAGTTATCATCCTTGTCAAAGGATGCGATGATGATAGTTATCAAGGAACAAGCAGTGATGCAGAGGTTGTTGTGATGATAGTTGTCATGACGCGGATGATAACGATCATCACGCCCGCGCGTGCCATTATCCTCATGGTCATCACGCCCGTGCCATTATCATCATGGTCGTCGTCATCTCTTATGCAGAGGATGCTGCGATGATAGTTATCATCACAGCCGTTAGTGATGCCAAGGATGCTACGATGATAGTTATCATTAAGAGTTGGGAGACTGGCAATACTGAAGGGGTCTCCAGGAATTATTTTAGCAAAAAATAGTAATTGAATTGCAAAGGGGAATTGCAATCGAGGTCAGGTGGATTTCCATTTTGCACTTCTAGATTGCAACAGCTTTGAGCTGGGCTTTCATTTAGCAATTTCAATTAGTGACGGCAGCAACGGTCAACGCTGAATGGCATTGCTCCTGCAACAATGATGGACCTCCTTCACTGAGCGCGCTTGCTATTTTTGCTATTTTTTGCTATTTTTTGCTAATCTTGGCCAGCGCTTGGCGAACGCACTTGCACAAAAATGCAATATTTAGCAACCCTCTCGTGGTTTTGGCCGCCGGGAAGCTCATTTTGCAAATCTTGACCAGGGCGTGGCAAACGCATTTGCAAAAAAATAGCGATATTTAGCAACCCTCTCGTGGTTTTGGCCCCCTGGAAGCTCATTTTGCAAGAGGGTTGCTAATTTTCCCATTTTTCTGATTTTTACTAATGTTTGCTAGCAGCGCTTGGCGAACGCACTTGCACAAAAATGCAATATTTAGCAACCCTCTCGTGGTTTTGGCCGCCGGGAAGCTCATTTTGCAAATCTTGACCAGGGCGTGGCAAACGCATTTGCAAAAAATAGCGATATTTAGCAACCCTCTCGTGGTTTTGGCCCCCTGGAAGCTCATTTTGCAAGAGGGTTGCTAATTTTCCCATTTTTCTGATTTTTACTAATGTTTGCTAATCTTGGCCAGCGCTTGGTCAACACATTTGCAAAAAAACAATATTTAGCAACCCTCTCGTGGTTTTGGCCGCCTGGAAGCTCATTTTGCGAGAGGGTTGCTAATTTTTCCTAATGTTTACTAACTTTTGCTAATTTTTGCTAGTCTTGGCCAGCGCTTGGCGAACGCATTTGCAAAAAATATAGTTCTAGTGCAAGTTTTTCTATTTGCTCATTGTGTTGCTATTTTTTGCTGAACAATTATTCTACTGTTTCCAGACATTCCCTGCAACTCAAGCTCTTAAAGTTATCATCCTTGGCATCATCTTTTTCATCATCTGATCATCACCTAGCATCATCTAATATCTTGTTATATTATATATGATACTCACAAGGGGCGGTAGACATCCTTGGCAATGCAAAGGATGCGATGATGATACTTCTCAAGAAACAAGTAGAGATGCAGAGGATGTTGTGATGATAGTTGTCATGACGCGGATGATAACAATCATCACGCCCGTGCCACTATCATCATGGTCGTCGTCATCTCCTATCAGGCAGCATTGGTGATGCAGAGGATGCTACGATGATAGTTATCATCACAGCCGTTAGTGATGCTAAGGACGCTGCAATGATAGTTATCATCCTTGTCGTCATCTTTATCATCATCTGATCATCACCTGGCATCATCTACTATCTTACTAAATATAGAAATCAAAAGGGACGTTAGACATCCTTGGCAATGCAAAGGATGCAATGATGCTACTTATCAAGAAACAAGTAGAGATGCAGAGGGTGTTGCGATGATAGTTGTCATGACGCGGATGATAACAATCATCACGCCCGTGCCACTATCATCATGGTCGTCGTCATCTCCTATCACGCAGCATTGGTGATGCAGAGGATGCTGCGATGATAGTTAGCATCACAGCCGTTAGTGATGCTAAGGATGCTGCGATGATAGTTATCATCCTTGTCATCATCTTTATCATCATCTGATCATCACCTGGCATCATCTAATATCTTACTAAATATAGAAATCAAAAGGGACGTTAGACATCCTTGGCAATGCAAAGGATGCGATGTGATACTTATCAAGAAACAAGTAGAGAAGCAGAGGATGTTGTGATGATAGTTGTCATGACGCGGATGATAACGATCATCACGCCCGTGCCATTATCATCATGGTCGTCGTCATCTCTTATCACGCAGCACTGGTGATGCAGAGGGTGCTGCGATGATAGTTATCATCACAGCCGCTAGTGATGCTAAGGATGCTACGATGATAGTTATCATCCTTGTCATCATCTTTATCATCATCTGATCATCACCTGGCATCATCTAATATTTTCTTCAATGTAGAAATCAAAACGCACGTTAGACATCCTTGGCAATGCAGAGGATGCGAAGATGATAGGTATCAAGGAAAACGTACAGATGCAGAGGATGTTGTCATGACGCGGATGATAACAATCATCACGCCCGTGCCACTATCATCATGGTCGTCGTCATCTCCTATCAGGCAGCATTGGTGATGCAGAGGATGCTGCGATGATAGTTATCATCACAGCCGTTAGTGATGCGAAGGATGCTACGATGATAGTTATCATCCTTGTCATCATCAACTTTTTCATCATCTGATCATCACCTGGCATCTAATATCATATTATACACAGAAACCAAAAGGGACGTTAGACATCCTTGTCAATGCAAAGGATGCGATGATGATACTTGTCAAGAAACAAGTAGAGAAGCAGAGGATGTTGTGATGATAGTTGTCATGACGCGGATGATAACGATCATCACGCCCGTGCCATTATCATCATGGTCGTCGTCATCTCCTATCACGCAGCATTGGTGATGCAGAGGATGCTGCGATGATAGCTATCACCACAGCCGTTAGTGATGCTAAGGATGCTACGATGATAGTTATCATCCTTGTCATCATCTTTATCATCATCTGATCATCACCTGGCATCTAATATCATATTATATACAGAAATCAAAAGGGACGTCAAACATCCTTGTCAATGCAAAGGATGCGATGATGATACTTATCAAGAAACAAGTAGAGATGCAGAGGATGTTGTGATGAGAGTTGTCATGACGCGGATGATGACGATCATCACGCCCGTGCCATTATCATCATGGTCGTCGTCATCTCCTATCACGCAGCATTGGCGATGCAGAGGATGCAATGATGATAGTTATCATCGCAGCCGTGAGTGATGCTAAGGATGCTACAATGATAGTTATCATCCTTGTCATCATCTTTAACATCACCTGATCATCACCTTGCGCGCGCCATTATCATCATGGTCGTCGTCATCTCTTATCACGCAGCACTGGTGATGCAGAGGATGCTGCGATGGTAGTTATCATCACAGCCGTTAGTGACGCTAAGGATGCTACGATGATAGTTATCATCCTTGTCATCATCAACTTTTTCATCATCTGCTCATCACCTGGCATCTAATATCATATTATATACAGAAATCAAAAGGGACGTTAGACATCCTTGTCAATGCAAAGGATGCGATGATGATACTTGTCAAGAAACAAGTAGAGATGCGGAGGATGTTGCGATGATAGTTGTCATGACGCGGATGATAACGATCATCACGCCCGTGCCATTATCATCATGGTCGTCGTCATCTCCTATCACGCAGCATTGGTGATGCAGAGGATGCTGCGATGATAGCTATCACCACAGCCGTGAGTGATGCTAAGGATGCTACGATGATAGCTACCATCCTTGTCATCATCTTTATCATCATCTGATCATCACCTGGCATCATCTAATATCTTACTATATATAGAAATCAAAAGGGACGTTAGACATCCTTGGCAATGCAAAGGATGCGATGATGATACTTATCAAGGAACAAGTAGAGATGCAGAGGATGTTGTGCTGAGAGTTGTCATGACGCGGATGATAACGATCATCACGCCCGTGCCATTATCATCATGGTCGTCGTCATCTCTTATCACGCAGCATTGGTGATGCAGAGGATGCTGCGATGATAGTTATCATCACAGCCGTGAGTGATGCTAAGGATGCTACGATGATAGTTGCCATCCTTGTCATCATCTTTAACATCATCTGATCATCACCTGGCATCATCTAATATCTTATTGAGTATAGAAATCAGAGGATGCGATGATGATAGGTATCAAGGAACACGTACAGATGCAGAGGATGTTGTGATGATAGTTGTCATGACGCGGGTGATAACGATCATCACGCCCGTGCCATTATCATCATGGTCGTCGTTATCTCCTATCAGGCAGCATTGGCGATGCAGAGGATGCTACGATGATAGTTATCATCAAAGCCGTTAGTGATGCTAAGGATGCTACGATGATAGTTATCATCCTTGTCATCATCTTTTTCATCATCTGATCATGCGCCATTATCATCATGGTCGTCGTCATCTCTTCTCTCTTTTCTAGCGAGCTTTTTCTCAGGGAAAGCACCTCAAGTTAATATTTGTTTAATTTGAGGTGTGGGAGTGGCATCCTTGTCTCTTTTTCCTTGCGAACTTTTTGTCAGGGAGAGCACCTCAAATTAATATGTTTTTTAATTTGAGGTGTGGGAGTGGCATCCTTGTCTTGTTTTGCTGGCGAACTTTTTGCCAGGGAGAGCACCTCAAATTAATAATTTTTTTTAATTTGAGGTGTGGGAGACGTTGCTTCGGGCTGCATCATCGTCATCATCATCATCTTGTGCTTCTTTTCTAGCGAGCTTACTGTCAGGGGAAGCACCTCAAATTAATATTTTTAATTTGAGGTGTGGGAGTGGCATCCTTGTCTCTTTTTCCTGGCGAACTTTCTGTCAGGGAGAGCACCTCAAACTAATATTGTTTAATTTGAGGTGTGGGAGACTTTGTTTTGGGCTGCATCATCGTCATCATCATCATCCCTGTCATCATCATCATGATGGTCCTCATCATCTCTTTCTTATTCTCTTATCATATCTTATTCGGCAGCGTTGCTGGTGCGGAAGATGCTACGATGATAGTTGTCATCACAGGCGTTAGTGATGCCAAGGATGCTACAATGATAGTTGTCATCCTAGTCATCATCTTTACCATCATCTAGCATCACCTCATATCTTATCATATATATATATTAATATATTGTTATATTCTATACATAGAAATCAAAAGACATCCTTGGCAATGCCCATGACTGCGGCACAGGGCGGCAGCCCTTAAATCCGGCTACGCCTCCTCGGGTAGCATGTCGCCGCTAGGCAATTAGCCTGCTAGCCTTACGTATATCCCTCCGATACCTTCTAAAAAACGCTTCATGGGTTGAGAGGCTTTTTGGAAGGAAGTCTTGATGATGCAGACCAAGCCCCGCTGAAGCATCACCCAGGCCCAACCCCAGACCCTGATGATGTCAGTCACATGGCCTAAACCCTGCATGTACGCGATGTTTTGCGAGGGTTCCACAGGCAAGCAAAACCGCAAGCACGAGCTGGTTTTTGCGCATTTTGGCGCCAAGCGCTGCCGGGCATGCCGGCGATGCTGGGCCCTCGCTCTCCAAAACGCTGTAAATACCGCCAAAAACTGCTGCGCTGAGCGTTGGGCTGCTGTTCTGTCCGTTTTGCTCTTGCTGTGGCTGGCTCGCGCGCTGCGCGGTCCTTGCTTTTTCTCGTTGGTTTTCGGGCCTTCTGGCGCGCGCGCGCGACCCCAGCCACAAAACGCCGCTATTTGCGGTGTTTTGTTGCGTTTGCGTTTCCGGGCTGGTTTGCGGGCTGTTCTTTTTGGGCTGCTGTTTCTGGGGCCTCTGGCGCGCGCGCGACCCCATGTCAGCCTTCTGGGTTGGGGCCCGGCTGGGGCCCAGAAAGCCGGCATCCACGGCATCATCTGGGGTTGGGGTGGGCAACATGCAAAACCTAACCAGCCATAACATAGCACAGGATACGTTTCTCATACAAAAACCATGACATGACATGGTCTAACTTCAAAGAGGCGTAGCCGGCTAGAGGCCGCAGGCCCAGAAAATAACATGGTCCCCTCAGAATCATGTCAAGAACTAACAAGGCTGCTGCACCCGGGTATGCTTGGGATCATCCCTTACTAACCTTCAAGCCGGGTTTTGATTGCGGCTCTGACGACCGCCTTCAGATCCAAGCTGCGTGACTGGCGTCAGCGTGCCTTCCGAAGCTTGCACAAGTCACAATAAAACCAAGGCGATCACGGGGGCAGAGAAATTGCCCAATTCGTGGTTAATTCTGTGAAGGCAAAGGAAGTCGCAGAGCGGTAACTCTAAGATATCTGGCTGCATGCCCTGATCAAGAGCAGCAGCTTGCAAAGCAAATCCCGAAGATAAATCTTGCAAACCCAGAAAATAATGCAGCAAAGAACAAACATGATAGTGAACTTGAATTACGCCTCCTTCAATGAATGCACCTCTCGAAACCAAATGCCTCGCACAGTTCGACAGTCACAAACGCTGGACAAGTGGCGCTTGCCGTTGCAGCGTGCAGCTTCTGCGAGTCCAACACATGTCTGGGGCATGATTGGTTGGAATCGCAAGTCATTGCCCTCTCCCAAACAGTCCTTCATCGAGCTTCCCTGTCTCTGGCGGTGCAAAATACCTTCAATGCAACGGTGTCAGGCTTCTGCCAACAAGAAGGTACAAACAAATTCGGCAACTCCACATCATGCCTTTTTCATCCAACTATTGTTGTTCTATCACATCACATCTGCAATAACCTTCTGACAATCTGCTGCAGGAACGTTCATCATGCTCACCCAGACTGCCCCAAGGAAAACAGCTGCGCCTGTATGCACCCTGTCACACACACACACACCTTCAGAAAATGGCGATGAACCCGAGCACATGCTATTCAAGAATTATTCAGCTTTGTCATCAAATGCCTATGAATTTCATCCTAGGGCCCGCGTTTAAAGTCAAAACACACAGACACGGGTGCACCTTTGTCTGCCACTTCTCTTTGCAGGGAGGCATAGAATCGAATCAAGAACCGCAATCGAAGCCCTTTCAGAATCGAATCGCTTCGAACCGCTCTGGGACCGAACCGTGTAGAACCGAACCGGTACATAACAGCTGGTCTTGAACCGGGACGTTACACAAATTTATGATTAAGATTGACATGGCTTTGCTCACGCCAGAAAGGCCTCTGCGCAACTTTTCCCGTATCCCACGCCCTTCCCTTCCTTTGGTCTCCTCCTTCCCATCCCCAGAAGTTCTTCCAAATTTTCCAGGGTAGACTTTTGCTTGAGTTTCAGACACGGACTAGCAACCCCCTCTTTCCAAGACTTGCCGGAAAGAAGAGGTTTGACCGATTTGGTCCGACCCTTAGAAATCCTCCTTCCCATCCCCGGAAATTGTTCAAATTTTTCCGTGGGTAGACCCGCTTCCCTGTGCCAGGGGGGGGATCTTTCGAGCAGCTGAAGTTTCCGACGCCTTTTGGAGAGTCCCGCAAATCTTCTAACGCGCACTCCAAGTTGTTTCCGGACTTTTTCCGGACTTTTCCACATGCGCCATGCTGTTTGGAGCCCTGACAGAATTGGAACTAGATTCGGGGGGCGCTATCTCACGCTGTGAGGCCTGGATGGGCCGCCAGTCATGCGCTAAGGGGGGCGCCGCTGAATCTGATTTCAATTCTGTCACAGGCTCCAAACAGCACGGCACGTCCGGAAAAGTCCGGAAGAAGTCCGGAAACAACTTGGGGGTGGTTAGGGTGTTGGCGGGCCGGCCCAAGTCCTTGATCTCCAAGAGGCGTCTGAACTGGTCTGAGCCAGGTCTGAAACCAGTCTGAAACCAGTCTGAAACCAGTGTGAAACATCGGAAATGACCCCCCCAACCCCTGCGCCTGCTCTCAAAACGCCCCCCGCAAAGGGGGGAGCAGAAATCGCGCCAAGCCCTTCTTTCTGAAAGAGGCGCCATCCCATCTCGTGCTGCGGCCATCTGCTTTGGATCGGCCGCCAGTCAGGCGCCAAGGAGCCAGGGCGGAGCATCAATTGAAACTTTTGTGTTGATGGAATCAACTTTTTCCTTGCACTCTCGCGCAGCACTTAATTGTCTAGCAACCCCTCTTTCCAAGACTTCCCGGAAGGCGATTTGGTCTAACCCCTATCCTATCACGCCCTTCCCTTTCTTAGAAATCCTCCTTTCCATCCCCGGAAATTGTTCCATTCTTTCCGGGGATCCTAACTTTGCGGGGAGGGGGGGCTTGGCTCTTAGCACGTTTTGGACCTTCTCAAGGCAGGCAAGCAGCAGGAGTTGTCGATGTTTCAGACTGGTTTCAGACCTGGTTCAGACCAGTTCAGACGCCTTTTAGAGAGTCCCGCAAATCAGGCACATCGCGAACAAGGACTTGTGCCTGCTTGTTAACATTCTAGCCACCCCGACACTCCAAGTTCTTGGACTTTTCCGGACATGCCATGCTGTTTGGAGCCCCTGACAGAATTGAAATCAGATTCGGGGGTGTGCCGTCCCATCTCACGCTGGGCCGCCGGCCAGGGGCGCCGCCGAATCTGATTTCAATTCTGCCAGGGGCTCCAAACAGCATTGGCACGTCCGGAAAAGTCCGGAAAAAGTCCGGAAACAACTTGAGTGAATCAAGGTCTTTCTGGATATGTTTGCAGACAAGCTTTTCTCGATGTGCCTGAGTTGCGGGGAAGGCGTCTGAACCAGGTCTCAAACCAGTCTGAAACATGAGAAATGATCCCCCGCATCTGTGTTGAGAAACATCTGCTTTGGATCGGCCGCCAGTCAGGCGCCAAGGAGCCAGGGCGGAGCATCAATTGAAACTTTTGCGTTGATGGAATCAACTTTTCTTGCACTCTCGCGCAGCACTTAATTGTCTAGCAACCCCTCTTTCCAAGACTTCCCGGAAGGCGATTTGGCCTAACCCCTATCCTATCATGCCCTTCCCTTTCTTAGGAATCCTCCTTTCCATCCCCGGAAACTGTTCCAATTTTTGCGGGGATCCTGACACTTCCCTTTGCGGGGTCTTACCACGATTTGAACCTTTTGAAGGCAGGCGAGCAGCAGGAGTTGGGGGGATCGTTTTCAATGTTTCAGACTGGTTTCAGACCTGGTTCAAACCGGTTCAGACGCTGTGGGAAGAAAAGCCCCCGCAAATCAGGCACATCGAGAGAAAGGACTTGGGCCTGCTTGTTAACATTCTAACCACCTCGAGGCGGCGCGCTCCAAGTTGTTTCCGGACTTTTTCCGGACTTGTCTGGACGTCCCTGACAAAATTGAATTCAGATTCGGCGGCGCACCCCGCCTGGCGGCCCATCCAGGCCTCGCAGCGTGAGATGGGACGGCACGCTGCCGAATCTGATTTAAATTGGACGTCCAGAAAAGTCCGGAAAAAGTCCGGAAACAACTTGGAGCGCGCCGCCTCGAGGTGGTGAGAATGTTAACAAGCAGGCCCAAGTCCTTGTTCGCGATGCGCCTGATTAGCAGGACTCTCCAAAAGGCGTCTGAACTGGTCTGAACCAGGTCTGAAACCAGTCTGAAACGAAATGCCCCCAACCTCCGCGCCCTGCCTTGAGAAGGCTCTCAAAAGGCCCGGAAGTGTCAGGGTCTACCCCCGGAAAAATTGGAAACAATTTCCGGAGATGAATGAAGGAGAACTTCAAAAGAAGAGAAGGGCATGAGATAGGATGGGGATCAGACAATATCGGTCAAAGCTCTTTTTCTGGCAAGTTTTGGGAAGAGGCGCCGGGCCATCGGCCAGAGGCGCCAAGGAGCCAGCGGAGGTGGAGCATCCTTTGAAACTCTTGTGCTGATGGAACCAACTTTTTTCTTGCACTCTCGCGCAGCCAACTTTTGCGGGGATACTGACACTTCCCTTTGCGGGGGGGGGGGGGGGGGAACTTGGCTCTTACCAAGTTTTGAACCTTCTCAAGGCAGGCGAGCAGCAGGAGTTGGGGGGATCGTTTTCAATGTTTCAGACTGGTTTCAGACCTGGTTCAAACCGGTTTCGACCCTGTGGGAAGAAAAGCCCCGCAAATCAGGCACATCGAGAGAAAGGACTTGGGCCTGCGTGTTAGCATTCCGGGCACGCCGAACCGGCGCACTCCAAGTTGTTTCCGGACTTTTTCCGGTCTTTTCCGGACGTGCCATGCTGTTTGGAGGGGGCGCGGACGGTGGACATCTGCTTTGGACTTTTGATATGGGCCTGAAATTCACTTCATGCCCCACACTGGCTTGCGGCAGAATTGTGGCCTGAGCAAGGTCTGAAACAGGTCTGAAACATATAATATGTGTATGCTATATTTAGTAGTATATTTATATGAATATTAGATCATGTTATATTGATAGATCTTGGTGGTAGTTAGTGTCAAGAAATGGAGCGGCTTTCAGCAGTGACACTGTTACCCGGAATGGGAATCGAAAGTCTATGGGGCCCGAACCGACACAATCCTAAGAACCGAATCGACCAGAACCGAATAACAATTCTGAGAGATTCAATTCAATGCTAAAAGAACCGAACCGCACCCATTGACAATCGAACCGGGGTCACCCTGTCTTTGGCAGTCAAGTTGCAAACCTTCGCTGGAGCTCTGGTCGACTGCCTCACATATCTCAGATTTTGAGTAAAATTGTGCTGAATGCGATCACAGGATCCAACTGGAAAGAAAGAAGACATCACCGGGAAAGCCATGCAACCTGAAGTCCGCGCCACCGTCCCATAGGCCGCAAGGCCAAGGCTCGGGTTGAGAAAAGGCCCATGGGCCATTGAGAGTTGCCAGGGAAAACATGGCCAAGTCTTGCACTCTCATGCGACTGGTGAGAACCAGCTTCAGTGCCGGGGGTGCAAGTTGCAGCCCAAGCCGCTGTCAGCAGGAATGTGTCGCCTGGGCGTCCAAACATGGGAAGCGTTTGAGCGATTTCCCAAACCTTACAGATAGAAAATAATGCTGCCGGCCTTCATCATATCCTGTAGTGATCGCACAATGTTAAAGCATATTGCAACCAATTCACGGACGCGTGATGGCTCGTGGTGACATGGGAGTTTGGGAGTTTGCAGCTTATGACCCCTGTGCGCACTTCTGGCAATGTCGAAAGGGGTCCAGTCCATGAAATAGACAGTAGATGATCGTTGCTCACGTGCCTCCACTATGGAACCCTGCAGTGCCCACAGATCTGCATTGAATGCACGCGTAGATGCTGCAATTCGGGCAAGCAAGCACACAATGGCGCAAAGCCAGTGCGTTGGCGACCTTGTGTAGCAATCCCAGCAACTTATGTTGTCTCCCTGGCACTTCTCTGGCCGATCTGCACCGGCATTCAAGGACGCCAAAAACAATGCAGCAGTTTGATTCGAAGCTTGTGACAGTCATTATCAGGGATAAATGTCTAAAGCGACACAAAACTTGAGCCTGAAGCAAACCTGTGATTAAAGACCTGCCCGAACCCGATAGACGTGCCATGCTGTGGCTCCCTGCACACAGGAGGGCACATGGCGAAAAACCTGGGACGAGTTCCATGTGAAGGAGAACGAACCTCTGTCGCCTAGCAAACTCCTTTAACTGCAAGTTGGTGCTTGGCTCGCCAAGTGGATTTGGCTGAGTTGGCCAGCCAAAGCTTTCTGCTCCAATTTGTTACGCAGCTGGCAGGCAGCCGATGTCACCAGTCCAATCACAGCTAAGGGGGGGGAAGCTCTTGGGGCTGTTTCAATCAGCATGCCGCACTGCTTGCCAAGAAAAAAACAGATCCTTGCACCCGCAATCCTTGAGCAACTGTTGCCGGTATGTTCTCCGAAGCCGAAAGAAAAACGCCGAGCCACGCTGAGAGGATGCGCTTGGCCACGCCAAAGCGCCAGCCCTGAGAAAGCGAGCAGCTCTCCCGCAATCACTTTGAGCGCCCATTTCCTCCCGTACCAAACCAAAGGATGGCCAGCGGCTCATGGCGCAAAGAGCCTTTCTGGCAGCATCCGCTCGGTGAACGTCAACAAGAGCACTAAGTGGTGCCCGAAAATGTTGGGCCAACGAATCCACGAAAACCTTATGAAACGCCCTTGTTGATGCTTCTGAATTTCCACAACCAGCATTGCAATTCTTGGGGTCCTCCTTGCCGCGCCTCAGAAACAACTACCTTGCAGATCTTGTTCATCCGCTGGAAGGTCTGCTGTCGCTCGGGGTCGCGGCCCCAGTCTGCCTTTCGGGCAGGGGAAGGCGTATGCCGGCTTCGCCATTCGCGGGCAACAAAATGCTGATCGGGAAAGAAAGGATTCATCGTGAAAGTCCTAGTGCAAGAGTCCTCAGCCAGGGCCCTAAATGTTGAGAAACCTGCTTGACTTGTCAAAAGCTCTGATTCGATGCTTTTGATCACGAACATGGGTACTTGCACGCCCTCTCAGCAAACGGAAAAAGTCAGGCACTAACTTACGTTCATGTACCAGGTTCTGAAATAGTCGTGCAAGTGAGGTAGCTTGTGCCAGCACAAAAGATGGGCCGTGGCATGATTGAGTTCGAACATGACTCATGAATAAGGTGCTTCTCACGCTTCGCGACAATGCTGGAGTCAGGCGCAAACAGTTTCCAAACTCCTGTTTCGACCAACGCCAGCCAGGTTCTTGTGCTGGAATGAGGAAAATGCTCGAACGCTCGCGGGGGCGGCGACACAGCCAGTTAACTTGTTTTGGGCGCCGCAAAGGTCAGCGCAACTCGGCATGAGGGTTTGGATCTAGCTGACTTAGTCACTTCTGCTGAAGAGGCCAACGACTCGGGATCCCTTGCCGACTGATTGACATGTCGACCCTGTCCCCTCAATGCCCAGTCCAGGCGGCCAGCTGCTTGACCAGTGACAGTGAGGGCACTCGAAGGCTCCGCAAATCCTGAGGCGGCCCTACTCTTGAGCATCGCTGGCACCCTGAGACTAACCTTACTTGCGCTTGACGTCTGTCAATCGGGCAAGGGCAGCATCACCAGCATTAGTGGCACCTGAAATCAGGGGAGACATCAGCATTCGTTGCACCTTCCTATGACCAGCCTCGACTGCCATGAATCAGCAGGGCCTCTCTCCAGCATTGCTGGAAACTCGTGTTCACACGCCTTCACCCTTGCCAATCAGGCAGGGGGCGGCATTTGTTCATTGACAGTCATTGCTTGTCAACGTGGGCCCAAAACAGTTTCGAGTGATGAACCTGAATATTCACGCGCTAGTCATCCGTGCCTTCTTGGTGAACCTTTCATGCCTATCTATTGGTCTGTACCGGCGATGTGAAGTAGTTGAGACTGCCCCACTACGCTGGATAGACACTGCATGCGTATTGAATGGTTTGACGGGTGCGCTAGAACGCGTTCATGGTTTTTGATATGGATACATTACACTATCACAATCCCTGCATTCCGCCTGCATTGGAAAGTATATATCTCGACACTGGCTCTCAGAGTTGCCATACTGGCTCAACATCGCAAGCCGGAAAAGCAACACAGCCTGCAAATAGTGATAAGCATGCGCAGCTGCTTGGAAAGTGAACAGGCCGGATGTTCTTCTGTGGCATCAGCCAAACTGGCAGGCTTTTGAGGCCTAATTGGTTCCTCCAGTGGCGCCTTTGTATTACACACCTCTCCTGGTCAAGCAAGGAAAGTGCAGGATCCTATGAATAGTCCTGGCGATGATAGTCCTAAGAATTGGCGGTATTATCTCATTAGCTGCAACCTGCCAGACGATAAAGAATAGTGCAGCGGCAAGAAAGGAAACATCCCAGAAGGTTCCAGACGCACAGTTTGTGTTGGTGAGGGCATCCGGGCTATGTCAAATGAGGCGAAACCCTTCCACGCTCTTGTCCAAATCCTCGCCAGCGTCTCTTAAGATAGTGTTGCTTCAACTTAAGGCATGTACACGAGGCTAGTGATGTGCTTCAAGAGGAGCTTGATGCATGGCCAAGAGTCGTAGACGATGGAAAAGCCCTTCTTCACAAGGTCATACTTCAAAAAATCGTCGATGTAATCCTGCATAATAACTTCAGCAAGAAACCCGTTCCCCGGCATCTGGAGAAACAAACAGACACGGCCCATCCTTCTCAAACCTCGGCTCCGTGATCCAGGTCTGCTCTGGTGGAAAGTGCTGCTCTATGGCTCTCACCGGAGCACCAGCCCGCCGATTTTGCCACGCACAAAGCCAGAAACAAAACGAGTCATCAAAGACCGCCGTGACAAAGGACAACAAGGAACGGTACAGAGCAAACACTGAGAACCAGCTAAAAAACTTATCGAAGTCAGGGATCCCATTCGGTTGATTGGCTTTCTTGTTACTTCCCCTTGAAGCATCAGAACGTGGAAGGAATGGAACACCTGCAAACATGGCTTTTAAGTGGTTGCCAGGAACTCGATGATATCCACAAAAGCCAAGGTGTCAATAATCGATCAACTCCCCGTATATCTCCTGGTGCCAGGAAATGTCTGTCTGCAAAGCCCTAGAAATCTAGCTGCCCCGACACCCGCTCCGTCATCTTTGTGACGCCATCGTCTGTGAACGGGTGATCAGCTGCCTCCCAGGTTCCAGTGTCAAGAGCCATCAGCAGTGCAGCCGGGCAGCGTGGAGCAGCGGGGGAGATATCAATGCAAAGACATCAGCCAATCGAATGCTGGGACACAAGCAAGCTCCTTGGCGCCATGCAAGACTCACCCAAGTGAGAAAACACCCAAAATGGCGCCTCGAATCTGACATGGGTCAGCCACTCGACTCTGAGTCTGGGGGCTTGCGTAACAAAGTGACAAGATCGCCGAATTAGTACTGGGCCGAATTGGTTGGCAAAGCCAAGCGATGTCATCCTGATCAACAACCCTTCTGGTTCATGACATCAGCCCGTTGTTCCTCCAGCAACCATGCACAACACCAAGTCCTTCGCTTGCTTGTCAGACTAGCATGAGACTTTCCTTGCGCATGGCGAGCTTTCAAGAAACCCTGCAACAAGTTTCAAGCTGCATTCTTTGACTGGCGCCTTGCCTTCTCAGTGGATTTGGTTGCACTGGCTATCCAATGTCTCTGGGGCAGCTAAGAAATTCCATGCGCCCCTCTGATTGAAACTCCATACAATGTAACTGGAACCTGCCTGCAGCACCAACTCTGCCAGCCCGGCGTCGCCCAAGCGCGGCCGCAGGGTCTCGGTGTTGGGTTTTGGGGGGAAGCTCCACCGGGCTGATCGCCCCTAGACCCATTGGCCTTTTTCGGGGGAAGCTCTAAACATCTCGCCTTGCGAACTCTCCCTGTCCGCCTTTGGCCTCTCCGCAAAACCTTTGAGAGCTGCTCTCAGTCTCACGGGTCGATGCCCTGCCGCTTCTATTTCTCTGGTCACAAAAAAGACACCGGAAAACAAACAACTGGGCTTACTTGCCCGCCGGGGGCCAATTTCCACAACAGGCCAGGAGACTCCTTAAGCAATCCTCATGGCACGGCGAACAGTCAAGAGTCGAGTCAAGAGTCAACAAATCGCGACAAACACGTTTTTGCAACCCCACCAACTGTCTTGCCAGTTTGGCCAGTGCAAAGCTGAAGCTCTGTGCTTCCCTGCCACAAAGCCCAAAGGCAGCGGCTCTGGCAACGCCATGCAGCGCAGTCATAGAGGGGATCGCTTCAAAAACTGTCATAGACGCAAGAGTCATATTAGTCATGTGCGTCTAAGCAAATCTTCAATGCTGAGGCGTGCATCCTCTTTGGGCAACTAGGAGTTGTCAAATCTTGCATCCTAGGATGCGTACATCCAACACACTGCTCAAACCACGCAGTATCATTTGAGAGCACATGTCATGCTGACTGTTGTACTGAAGCTCAATCTGTGGTATCGTGGTTGCAAAAGTCATCGACTTGGAGCCTATCCTCTCAAGCCTCATTAGTTCCGTTCACGACTGCCCTACAGGTGTCAGGATGCCAGCTGAATGACGCAAACCCTTCGAGCTGAAATATAAGCCTGGTGCAAGAAGGTTTCAGATCCGCGGGGAGCACTATTGAAGTTCCTTTTGCAAAATGCTGTGCCTTGCAAACTGTCTGGGGCCCTCCCGGCTTGTGAAGCACGTCAAGATTTCTATTCTCATGACTTGAATAAAGACGGCACTCTCTAGCCCGGGAAGTTGAGCATAAACCATGCCGTCTCTCTTATCGCACTTCCTCAACAAACACGTTGGGGGCCGTGGGATTCGCTGGTGGTGAGCTCCCAGTGGTCAGTGGCCCCTCTTACTCCAAAATGATATTGGCCAAAATCCAATCGGCGACAGCTTTTTGTTCAGTCGCTCATGCACCTTGGGCGCAGGGCCGTGCACTAACGTTGCCGGATCAGCTACGACCACGGCACCAAACAACCAAAAACAAAACTGTGCATGGACTGGGCTGGACAAATTGGATGCATAGAAAGCCGATAATACCTGAAGCAACTGTCAGCATGGCTTCAACAGATTGTTCTAAAGTGAAATCTATTCGCACGTCTTGTAGATAGCCAATCTAAGTCACTTCCACTTCCCGCTTGACATTCCCCGACAAGGAACATAAGGGGCTCGAGTTGACTGGTTCATTCCGAAGCATGATTCGGTTAAAGAAGCAGCCATACGAGTCCCAAGCCCACAGCCAGTCCATCAGCATCCCGTGTGGGAACCTACAAGAGACGCATGCATGCTGCATGCTCATCCCGGAGAGCTTGCGCTGTGGGATGGCATGGTGAAACAGGTGACAATGTCTATTCCCCATCCGTTGATGTTGAAGTGATTTACTGTTGCTGTGTGAGCGCCCCATTGCTGGTTTGTGCGGCAATCAGATTTACGTCATGCATTTTATCATCCGCATGCCGGTCAGGTTGTTCCGTGCTCATCATCTTCTGGAGGAGGAGGAGGAGGAGCAGTTGCCGCAACCCTCAGTCATGGCTGGTCTCAGCTTTGCTTGCCGAAACCGCCACTATGCCAAAGACCAACCTTTACTGCGTTGTTGATGCAGGCCCATGAGCCTGTGTACCTACATGGTGCTGTGAAATGCACATATGTGGGGGGGGGGGGGGGGGGGGGTAAATTTGTTTATTTCAACAAAATCATCGCACAGGGTGGAGTGAAGAGTGGTTCTTTTGAACGAAACTCCAAACATTTCAGTACCAAAACGGCACACAGCTCGAAAGTCGAAACGTTTTAGCACAACATCTATATGCAAAGTGCGCAGCTCCGGGTCGAAAATAGCAACTGTTCGCCAAAGGCGCGGGCGAAGTGCACTGGCGCTTTTCAGTGCTGAAGTAGCACGAAATCAACAGCTACTACGAACGTTTGTGCACAAGTTTCTTTCGGACCCCCAAAACAGCACCTGCACCAGCACCCAAGCTGTATGCCCTAGCACCATGCCGTCAATTTTGCACTGCATGCCCCCAGCAGCCACCCGTCAATCTTGCAATCACTTTCCCCTCTTCATCAGACGTTAGAACCCCTATAACTTTCAGCTATCTGGGGAAAAAATGCTTGGGCAACTCCATCGCGAATCTTTCGCGAGGTGCTACAGGGCTCCTTACGAGAACCTTTTGATCAACCCTCCTATATTACCAGGTACACAATGCAACCTCATTGGTCGGCCTACATGGCAACGAGTACCTGAAGCAACAGGGGTCTTTGCTTCAATGCACATTGCGCGCGCACACAGACACACAAGCACTAATTTCAAATGTCGCGGCAATCACCTCCGTACTTCTTTCTATATTAATGCTAGTGTCTATGGTCGAAGAACGCACCACACCAGAGAACCACAACCTCAAGCGCAACGAGCTTGCCTCAAGAGAGTCAGTATGACTTACTTGTCAGATCACCAGCGTTACAGGAATAGAAGCACTTGCGTGACACCATAGGATACCTCAAATTAGACAATTTCTTTCTTAACATTTCGCCCTGGCTTGTCGGGCCAGGTGCTCAGCATGCATGTTGATGTTCTCCCAGTTGCTGGTCAGCAGGTGACGCCTCAGTTGCTGGTCAGATTGTGCGACGAGGCATAGCCAGGTGATCCAGAAACTGGGCCCGGTCTCCGGGGGCGTTTCCGTTTGCCGAGCGGCATGACGCGGAGGAACTCTGGGAAGTCCACAGAGCCGTCCTGGTTGGAGTCGTACCTGCGAGCACTTGCAGACACGTCGAAATTCGATGACCGTTGCCCCCTCACTCAATAAATTACAAATGCTTCACCCCGTCGCAAAGTAAGAAACCTTAACCTACTAAGGCTTTCTGCGACCAGCGCTTTTGAGGCCTCAAAAGGAACTCCATTCCGCATCTCTTGGCCTAGACCTCCAAACAACCACCCCAAAACGGCGTCTCGACTCGGGGCACTGCTGGACGATCTGCTGCAACTCGCGGCTGCCCCGGTCCCCCTCCGCCGCCCGCATGATGGTGGCTAGCATCTTCTGCAGCTCCGGGTAGGCCAGCTCTCCCCCCTGCCTCACCAGTTTTTGCAAGACTGAACCATAGCCTCTAGTGTACCATGTTCTGTTTGTTGTACCAACTATGTACTAGTCTTGTACTGTATATGGTACTGTGTATTCAATGTATTCTACTATGCACTACTTGGGGCTCCAAGTACGCTTCACGTGCAGGCGAAGGGGCGCGCCGAACGCCTTGAAGACGCTCCGGAACTCCTTGAGCTCGCGCACCGAGAAGCGGGTGTCCATCACCTCGCCCGCTTCCCGGGCTGAAACGGGCTAAAACGACCAAAACACGCGGCAAGTTTTTACTTTTCGAAACCGGATGCGTCAATTCGCTCGCAAACTGGAATCTCTCCTTCCGACCAAGCAACGGGAAGTTTGGGGCTACGGAAACGGGAGCCTTCGCATGGAGAAATTAGAATTCTGAATGCAGTCTGTGGCATATCAAGGGCACAAATCAAACAGCTGAGACGATTGAAAAACACATATTTGAAAATTTGCCGCTCCCACTTCATACAGTTGCACCTTTGTCACCAAGGTGTCAGGCTGCCGGGGTGATCTTGAAGCAAAATACAATTCATGTCTGCCCACCTTGAAAAACACTCAGCCCTCAACACTTGGCTCACCCTCTTTGAGTCTTTGGTGCCTGATTCAACTGGGCGCATTTCACCATCCCACCACCTGACTCCAGCCCAAGGGCAGCGGCTCGCTCCTTTACCTCGGAATCAGGAAGCAAAGCTGGGAGACTGACTAGCGCCAGTGTGCAGGATTCTACGTTTTGACCCCAGGTAGACTTAAACCCGGGGGTGGGTTCATTCCCCCCAAAAGGAGAACCCCTGCAGTTAAGTCTGTCTTAGTCAAAAAGCAGAACCATGCCTGTGTGTGTGTGTGCTTTGATGCCAGCATCATTCGAGACCGTTCGACCCTTCTTGCCATGTCAGCTGGCCCGCAGCAGCCGGCTTTGTTGAACTTTGTTGTCTTTTTTCCGGCAGGGGATTCTGATACCGCCACCCTTGTGGCAGTGACATGGTCCCAAAGACATGGGTCAAAGTGGGTCGAAGGGGGTGCATGGGATGCTGATAAAGCCGCCCATCCAGCGATCACCGAGCTGCTTTATGGTGCAAGCCTTCCCCCCCCCTCCTGGGCGGGTAAGCCAAGTTGCAAGCTTCTCCCGGCTGCAGCGGTTGCTCACCAAGCGCATGAGCAGGATGAACTCCTGAGGTGTTGAGAACGACTGTGACAGGGGGCTAGCCAAGTTCCTCCGGAGCAAAGAAGCCCAACTTTCCACGGGTCCTGGAAGTCAATAGTCCCAGAGTGGTCCGCATCACTTGCCTGCCCAAATGGGGACGGGGCATGCTGTTCGTGCCTTTCCAAGCCACGTGTCTGAGAAAAGATCAACAGAATGAAATTGAGTCAAGTCGCAACATGAAGCTGACACAGCACTGTTTCACAGCTTTGTCATTTCTGCCACATTTCTTTGGCTGGCGTCGGATGTTGCGACGTCTCTCATCACAACTCCTGCACTGCTGGACACATGATGCATGGCAAAGGTTTCGAGGGTGCACCACACGTGACATGTTCAGACAGGACAAGCATTTGAATGCTTGATACAGCCCTACCCCCCCCCCCCCCTCCCCACCCTAGTCTTCGGCATGCCGCAAAATTCGTAAGGAGAGATTCCAGCCTTCACGATCTGCGCAATTTGCTCTCGGCCAGCCTGGCTGAATCAAACTCAAGGAAAGATTAGGCCACGAAACGCAAAAGCAAAGGGAAGCACATGCTGCTTTGATATAACTGATATCTGACAAAACAGTTAAATATCAGACTCGGACCAGATTCACAAAACGTCGGCGTTTGGCCTTCCATCTTTCAAGATAGAAATGCTTTGCTAATTCAAAATCCCTGCGCTGCATCTGCTGCCTCGAACAGCCCCACTTGCAAAAACGACATTGCCAGTTTGCTTGAAGCATTCTTCAGAAACAGCCATCCTTCATCAGCTGCCAGTCCGGATTGAACCACCGACACGTGGAGCTTTTGCGTGCCACCTTTGGATCTCGCCTGGGTTTGCTCGGCTTGGGGGCACTGTTGCAGCAGCAGCCGCCGCAGCTGAGACTTTTCAATGACACCCCGCTCTTGGGGGTCGTAGCTGCCTCAGTGACCATCAAGCCACGAACAGGGATCCGGATGCATGAAAAACACCTGAACATTGCATTGCAACTTGTTTATTGGTGGTGTCCTGGTATTTTGGTGGAAAAAACAACATGTTTCAAATGGTTGCAAAATGTATCTTTTAAGGAGCCCTGCCGAAAACGTAAAGATTATATACAGACACCTGACAAGTCTACAGTCTACACAGCATCGGAAATTCGGGAAGCATCTCCGAGGTGCGGAAAATCTGCTTCAGCTGTTCCAGCTCCTCGGCCATGAAGCCTTGCTGCTGCCGCACCTCTTCGTTGGTCTCCTCAGATCCCACAGCCCGGTCACCATTTGCAGCCCGGGTGGAGTTTTTGCCAGCTGAAACAGGCATGAAGTTCCATGCCTTGCTGCCCAACTCCGAAAACCTGCTATAAGCATCTCACTTGAGGGTTCGGCTTCTCCCAAGCTGAGGGAAGCTGTGATTCCGAAGTAAATGCAAGCCTTGGGGTAAGGCTGTGAGGACTGACAATATCAGGAGGACATCCAAAGGCATCCCTGCCTAAGATAAATGGATTAGGGCTAGGATCAAAATCAGCATCTGCCAGGGCCTGCTAGACAGAGCGAATGAGGCTTGAAGATGACACAATGGGGGTCCCACTCAATGAATGTCGACTTCTAAGACCAAAGTCCAAATGAAGGGCCAGTCCAAATGCCAACCATGGCTTCTTGGATTCACTGGATTCAGTTGTGGTTTAACAAGCACAATTGTGGGCCACAGTATGTCAAGGAGTTGTTGGTGCATGTTCGATGGTTGCAAGACTTCTGGACAAGAGGGGCGGGCGTCTGGTTTTTAGAGAACAGCGGCGGAAGCAGCCAATTCGAGCGCCTACTAAGTTTTGTGCAGGAGTAAACAGGTCATACTACATAGCCCAAACCGTTTAAATAAGCCTTTCCATTCGGAGGATCCCCCCCAAACACACCATCCACAAACACACTCCCTTGAAACAAACTCGAATAGACCAGGTCGACTCCCCAAACTCGTTTCAAACGGATCTCTGGCCACGCCGCCCGTCGATACTCGGCGATGAGCTGAGCAAAGCCCCAGAGATTCAGCCTGCACAATGGTCTCCCAAACGAGCCGGTCACATGGCCATGGGTCAAAATCCCGGTTAGCCCCCAGTGAACATCCCAATCCCCACTAAAATAGGTTCTAAAATGGGTGGTGCACCTACCAAAAATTGGTTTTGACCCACAGCCACATTGGATGGCCAAACGCAAATGGGGGCGGAGCATCTCATTCGATTGGACCAAAGGACTGAACATGATGGACACGGGAAGTCCTGCAATCTGATCAGAAGTACCAACTATGTTTTGGTCCTCAGAACATGTCGCCAAGATGTTTGTTTCTGAAACCATATGCTTTGGCCAACCACCAACCTTCTTGTGGCTGGCGAGCTCAATGTGGCAAGCGCACAATCCAAGCCAATATGTTTGCATGCAACTGGATGTCTGAAGCCAGAAAGTGCAACTAGGTGCAAATCAGTCAAATCCTTAAAAACAAAACAAAAAAAGGACCGGGCAAGTGAGTTTGCTCTCTAGTAGGAAGTTTCTTTTTTCTGGCATCTTCAGGAAACTCTAGCAACAAACAAGTCCAAAACCGCATCAGGCAGAGTGGATTCTTGGTCAACACCGCATTTCGCTCGTATCATATTGTTTCTGCGTTGTTGAAACATGTGTCCTGGACGAACCTGGCGATTCCTCTTGTATAGAAGTTCATGAGGTCTTGCTGTCATGGAAACATCTGACCTCATTGTTTGTTCGTCCATGTCCCGCACAGCAATACTGACAGCCATAGCAAACATGCTCCGAGGAAATTATGATATGCCATCGAGTGTTTCGCTTTTTGCCCTACGGACTTACCATGCAGCAAGTCAAAGCAGGCTAGCTTGACCCATGAGAAACCTCGCTTCCAGCAAGGTGAACTATCACATGTGCCGAAATCAACATCCTTGTGGGCAATTCAACTCTTGTGTTGTATCATCTGCTTCAAGTTGTGAAAACAGCGGTGCAAATTGATCCGAGATTACTTCCCGTATATACTCACGTTGCCATGGCAGGTCCAGAGCTTGCCGCGAATAGCACCCCGAGAAATCACAGCAAGCTCAACCAGCCAGGCAGCTCTGTCTCCGAGCCAGGGCTCTCAACGCCTCGGAATGCCAAGGACGAATCAACTGGAAACTTGCAATAAGTCTTCAATAAGTGAGGTATGTGCATCCCCACCTCAGACAGCCGCTGTCACAAGTCGGCAATGCGACAAAAAGAAACAAGGACGAAGCATGTTGACAAGCTCGCGGAAGGAAGTCATCTCGATTCTCGTTCTGGTTGCCACGGTTGCCACGGTCACTATGTGACTGCGGGAGTCTCGCTCAAGCTCCTGCGACATGCCCTCGCCCCCATGCTGAGGCATGAGCCGCAGTCTTTGAGCACCGCGCTATCCTCAGCGCAACTTCGGAGGCGACCAGAGCTCAAGATGCGCCAGACGAAACTTCTAAGGGTAGCTTCCCTATTCTTTTCAGGGATACTTCTTTCTAGAAAACCACCAAAAAACCCTGGGGAAATGGCGATCGCTTTTTGAAAAGAACGATGGCTGAAAGGAATGGAAAAGGAAGCAACCCCTAGAAAACTGAAGATCCTGGGACCACGCCTCGCGCAGTGGGCAGTGCCCGGAGCTCAGCAGCACGGCGGGCAACTCCGCCTGTTGGGCGATCTGTTTCCCAAGTTGGGTGTGGCAAATCGACCCAACCCCTGGAAAATGGCAAGGACGAAAACCCGGTCCAAATCCTGGGTTAACTTTGACCACCCATCTGGTGAATCCCGACCTCCCAAATTGCCCTTCCTTCCCTTTCAACCCCCCACCCTCTTTCCTTGATCTTCCCCTTGAAACCATACAAACGGGGGGTCCACAATTCTAAGAAACTCCCCGCAGCCTTCGGCAGTCTAGATGGCCTCCTGTCTGTTGGTTCGCCTGCAGGTTGCAGGCGTTTCTCTAGCTGCTGGTGGATTGGTTCTTTTGCAGTCTGACCTGACAATCCCTCAGCTAACAAACGGCAAACAGGGTACAAAGTACAACCAGCGGTTTCATGATTGCTTGATCAACAACGTCAACGCCAGCTGGGTTGGAAAGGGCCGTCCAAGCCCCATTGATCCCAAGACCTCGACAATATGTTTGCTTGATACTCGTTCCTCTCAGAGGTAGGCGAGGGAGCCGGTACCAATCTGATCCCACGGCTTCATATAGAGACTATATATGTATCATCTCTACTCTTGGTATGGTAGCAAAATCTTTGTTTTTTGCAGATCCCCGGTAAAAATGAACAGAACCAAAAAACTAAAAAACCAAAAACATGCCGAGAACAGCGAAGGTATATGTACTGTGGCTCAGCATTTTCCAGAGCTGGGGCAAACCGCAGCGGTTTGGTCTTTGGGCAAACTATTTGCCAGGGCAACCCACTTTATATTTCTTTGAGCCACAGCCATATGTGTAAGTCTGTTCGATGCTCGTGTTTGCAGTTTCTTCCAGCCCAACTCCTGGCCCCAAGCTCGCCCCCACCGTGCCTGTTTGCGGTTGAGCTGGTGCGCCTGGGGTGAGGTTGCTCGAAACCTCTCCAATTGTGCAAAGGTGACGACCAGTAAGTTCCTTGTCTTTAATATGTCTCTTCTGCACGGAATGTTGGCCTTCGTTTCTCTAACCGAATATCAATACCAAGTTCAACAAACAGTCCTATCTACTAGGTGTTGCTTCTACCATCCAACGATGAGCAAGTGGTGTCCGATGGTCTGGCGCTTGACACTCTGCCCTCAACCCAACACGCATTCAGGGCAAGCCAGTGATTCAAGCATCCAATAAAGGGTCTAAAAGCATGCTCCTAGAAATTCTACCTTATTTGACGGCAATGATCAGTATGGACAGGTAATCTGAGCACCAGAGGAAAAAGCCAGCAAATAGATCTTAGCAAAAAGACCGACAATGAAGGAGTACTGCCACAGGTTGCTGCTCGGACAAATCAAGCCAGCTGCCACACAAAGGCCAGAGCCAAACAATAGAAGGAACCGCAGAGTTGTGGAAATGGCGCAGCAACTCCGCAAGCATCAGACCGATGTTCGGCTGCGAACACCAAAGCATAGCTTGATGAAGCCGAAACGCTAATACAACCTTATGTGGTGGCGGTGGCAGCGAACTGCTCTAGCCAAAAGGCCAGATTGTGTTCACAAACAATTCATGTGGAAAAATTGGCTATGCAGACTATGCAAACATGCTCGGGCACCTCTCAACAAAAGGAGTGTGGCAGTGTGAGAGTCTCTGCCAAGAATCCCACTTACTGCCCTCACGTGCAAGTCTCTGGAGCGAGTGCCGCTTGGGTCTCGGGCCTTGGAGAGGCGCCTCACCCGAGGAGCTTTCTCCTGTGGGCCAAGGGGAGCCGCCCTAGAAATGTCGGGCTGCAAAACGCACCATAGGACTTACAGTACGGGGGAGGGAATGACGTGGGGCAGCTCTCACGTCTCAGCTTTTTATATGTAACAGTATTGCCTGGCTTGATATTCCTTCTCTAGCCAAACTCTCGTCATGGAGGATGAAAAACCTGGGGGATCATTGCGCGACAGAAACTCCAGCCAGAGCGCTGACTTACTGTGACGTATCGCATCTTCTTTTACATCTATGGTTCAAGAGCGATGCATGTTCGCCTTTGACGCTGAAAGATCAAAGTGCTATTAGCATACTCAGACACGGTATGCGGAAATATGGCAACCGCCTCAACATGCTTCGTGGGCACACGCCGTCTTTATTGTGGTTGGTGACAAGAAAGACAACTGCCCCAGTGCCCTAAGCTCTGAGTCATTTGCATTACGTTGGCCCTGGGAGCAAGGGGCACGCTTGCTTCAACATTGTTGAAGTGAAGGGATCCCAGCAGAAGTGCCCCCCCCTCAATCAAGCACATGTAACTGCTTCGAGTGAGGTTCATTGGTTTGGGCTTGCACAGTGGCTGCCCAAGTCAAGGCTCAGCCGAGTTATTTTACCACGGTATCGCGGTGGTACATTGTGTGGACACCTGCCTTGCCGAGAAACTCAAAATCCAGACCAAACTCTTTGACTACGTCAGTGATGACGGCCAAGGGGCCGTGCTCATGAACCCCGAGCAACCGAGTATTTTGAGCATAGCCCTGGCAAACAAGCAACGAGGCAAAGATCCGCGTTTTTTTTTTGTTTAATGTCCCTGACTGCTCTTTTGCGAGCACGTCAACCCCTTTCAGGCCCTGCGGACTCAAATCCCCAGGCATCCATGGAGCAGTCCTGGAGCTCCCCGGAGAACATGGCTTGCAGGACCCTCTGCAGCTCCTGGCGTCTGCGATGCGCTTCCAAAGGCCGCGGTTTGGATTTTTGGTCCAGGCAAGCACCACTTGCGGTTTGGAACATGCAGTTTGGAAACTCACACCAAGCCCAAGGCTCGCCGTTCAGTGGCGGTTAGCATCTGCAAGGGTGTGAGGCGCCATATCGATTGGACAGCGCCCAACGCGTGATGCGTGCGCTTTTGGGGACGAAGAGGTTGTGAAAAGGTTGCACCCGCGCTCGGCGCACATAAAACACACCATGGCTTTGTGCCATCTCTTCCATAGTTCTGAAACACTGCAAACCCAGACACCTGGCTCACTCACACCGGCGGTCTCCTCACACCTCTCCCTGAACGCCTCAGGTCCGACCCACGCCTTACGCTTGTGGAAGGAGATGATCTTCAAGAACTCCGGGAACTCGATTTCCCCCGACTCGTCCATGTCCCACTCGTCGAGCTGCTCCTGGCAACAAAAATGACCCGCGGTTTTTTTTGACCCAAGCCTGCGTTGCGCAGGATTCCTCAACACCGAGTGGTTGGTGGATGCAGCCCCTAACCAAATAACCTCCTTGTCTCGTCCCTTTGGAGAAGCCGCAACCCCTTGTTGACCAGGGGGGGCTATCCGCAATATGTCTCCAAACCGCATCAACCCGCGAGCTGCTCAACCTACCAGATCCGGCAACGGCCTTTGGAGAGACCACTAGACAGCAAAGCCTGGTAAAGAAAGACTTTTTGGACTGCAAAATTCCTATCTGCTCACGTCCTGCACCTCCTCGTAGGTCACAGGATATCCCAAAGATCGGATGGCGAACTCCAGCTCGCAGCAAGCCATGCCTCGCCAAGCCCTCCCCAAACACGATTGATTGGGGATCACCGGCTTGCATGTCGGTGCATATGTCGAGAAGCACAAGACTGTAAGGAGTGCGTCTTTAGGACTGAAATGAATATAGGCCTTTGCTCACCTGAACCCAAAGTCTCAACATGCCGAATCAAACAAACAAAGCAGGGCAAGGTCCTCATGCCGATGGCCGCAATCGCAATCATTCGAAGGAATTACATGTCTTCTCTGCATGGACCTTCACACAGTCCATCTTTGGCATGGCCATCTATTGACCTTCACACAGTCCATCTTTGCCATGGCCATCTGGTCTTCTAGTGTGGAAACTTCCTTCACTTGTTGCAATTGCCGTCAGAACCGGCATTCCATTGACATCCTAATGGGACCTCAATATCAATGTATATGATTCATATGATCAACAAATATGACACCTGCTGCCCGATGTCTGATAGAACCAGAGAGGACGGTATCGCAGCCGTTCCCTGAATCAAGCATAGGCTTGAACCTTTTGCGTCTCGGCCGTTCCATCCTCCGGAGTTGTCCTCGTCGCAGATCTCAAACTGTCGCTTCGCCAGCTCAAGCTCCGCCTGGCAAGCCAATTGCTCTGGGCATGGCTCCAAATGAAAGAGCTAGGGCCAACCGCAGGTTTTTGTCTTGGTTTACATCTACCAAGCTGCCGGTTTCGGTATCTGTTTTTGAGCCCACAGCCATCTTGCCAAGCTGGCCTTGCATAGGGTGGAAAACAGTGATGCATCTTTGACCACCTGGAGGTCCGAGAGGGAGCCACTGGAAAATCGGCCTTCCCGGAATGATCAACCGCTCACGGACGATCGTATTGGGTGACATAAAAACCCATCAGCCCCGAGAGGAATCCAAACCTTAAGGCTCACGATCGCGATGGCCTGTGACAGGCCCTGACACCTCCGGATTTGCCACATCACAGGCCTGGCACGGCATGGGTGAAGGATGCCTAATGGGAGTTTCGGTCATCCCGAAAAAGACATCTGCAATCTGCCGTGCGAACTTGCAACTGGAGAAAATAAAGCTTTGAAACGCTTCGGAGTACTCCAACTGTGTGAGACTCTGGTGTGCTCGGCCTCTTGTTTCCCTTCGCATGCTGCAACGCATGGCCCGTGCCCGCATGCTGCAACTCTCGAAGAAATCCTTTGAAAGCTGAAGGCCACCGTACTCTTCTGCACGAGCGGCATGACATCTTCAATGGTCAGCTGCTGCTTGTCAATGCCCAAGGCCTGAGCCAAAACTGCATTCACCTCTCTTCCTGCGCCTCCTGCGCTGTTGCTTTTGTCAATCCTTGGACTGCCGCTGTTGCGTTCTGAAAACTGATCATGCCTTTGTGAATTTGAGTTGCTCCTCCCGAATCACACCAAGGCGCACACATGTCCGTAATTCTGTTTGCACAATATTTATGCTTTGTCTGTGAGCCTTAATACTATCTATGTTCATATGTGTGACCAATTCCCCCCCCCCCCCCGATGGATCCGGTTGTTGCGAGATTGCGAGATTTCATGCGCATGTGCGTAGGAGGCCCTTCTTGCAATTTTGTGAAGTGTCACTAACATTCAGTGATGGTCTCTAAGATTTATCAAAAGTCGTACAATCCACAACTAGTGAAAGAGTAGTAGTGTGCTTGTCAAATTTAGTAGACTGAAGCCATATTTAGTGAAATTAGTCAACTGAAAATGCAATTCACTAAGAATAATTATCATGTTCACTAAAGTTCGCTCAAATCCAGTACTTGTCCACTAACTTTATCATTCACGAAGAATCATAAATTGTCACTAATTGACACTAATTGTTCACACAGCATTCGTTAATTGAGTGAGAATTGGTGGAGCTAGTGAATGTTAGCAACATGTTGTGACTGTTAGCCAAATTCAGTGACGTTTAATATATTGTAGCAAACATAGTCACGAGTGAAAGTGCAATTCACTGACTGTCACTAAAGTTCATTGAAACTCAAAAGTCGCGAAAAGTCGCTGATGCGGTAGTTTATGTTTGTCCAAACTTAGCGAACAAGTACTGGGTTTTAGTGAAACACCGTGAACTTTGCTGAAAATTAGGGAAATTAGTTCAGTGTTAAAAGTAATTCACACAAAAATATATCCTAAGGGTCATTAAAGTTCAAAGAATGACTAATTGTTCACAAGTCTGGAAATCCAAACTTGGTGAAACATTAGATAGTGATGTTTAATGAAAATTTGTAACTTGATAATTTTGTGAACATTAGTGAATTGCAAGTTCCAAACAACGCATGTTCAAAAGACCAGCCATATACATATATATATATATAGCACATATATATATATATATACATACATACATACATACATACATACATACATACATACATACATACATACATACATACATACATACATACATTACATACATACATACATACATACATACATACATACATACATACATACATACATACATACATACATACATACATACATACATACATACATACATACATACATACATACATACATACATACATACATACATACATACATACATACATACATACATACATACATACATACATACATACATACATACATACATACATACATACATACATACATACATACATACATACATACATACATACATACATACATACATACATACATTACATACATACATACATACATACATACATACATACATACATACATACATTACATACATACATACATACATACATACATACATACATACATACATACATACATACATACATACATACATACATACATACATACATACATACATACATACATACATACATACATACATACATACATACATACATACATACATACATACATACATACATACATACATACATACATACATACATACATACATACATACATACATACATACATACATACATACATACATACATACATACATACATACATACATACATACATACATACATACATACATACATACATACATACATACATACATACATACATACATACATACATACATACATACATACATACATACATACATACATACATACATACATACATACATACATACATACATACATACATACATACATACATACACATACATACATACATACATACATACATACATACATACATACATACATACATACATACATACATACATACATACATACATACATACATACATACATACATACATACATACATACATACATACATACATACATACATACATTACATACATACATACATACATACATACATACATACATACATACACATACATACATACATACATACATACATACATACATACATACATACATACATACATACATACATACATACATACATACATACATACATACATACATACATACATACATACATACATACATACATACATACATACATACATACATACCATAATACATACATACATACATACATACATACATACATACATACATACATACATACATACATACATACATACATACATACATACATACATACATACATTACATACATACATACATACATACATACATACATACATACATACATACATACATACATACATACATACATACATACATTACATTACATTACATTACATTACATACATACATACATACATACATACATACATACATACATACATACATACATACATACATACATACATACATACATACATACATACATACATTACATACATACATACATACATACATACATACATACATACATACATACATACATACATACATACATACATACATACATACATACATACATACATACATACATACATACATACATACATACATTACATATACATACATACATACATACATTACATACATACATACATACATACATACATACATACATACATACATACATACATACATACATACATTACATACATACATACATACAACATACATACATACATACATACATACATACATACATACATACATACATACATACATACATACATACATACATACATACATACATACATACATTACTACATACATACATACATACATACACATACATACATACATACATACATACATACATACATACATACATACATACATACATACATACATACATACATACATACATACATTACATAC